GAGAAGTTCAGCTGCAACAGGGAGGAGAGGTTTTGGGGTAGGTTGGGGTTGGCAGTCATATAGTGGAGGATGGGCGAGCCAGAAAACATGAGAAAAATGAACTAACCAGAGTGGTACACAGAGCAAGCACTCGTTAATTCCTGGGGACAAGATCGGCTCTGAGAGGCTTCCTAGTAGAGGAAAGAGTTGGCATGGGCCCTGGAAGGTGATACATTGAGTAACTCAAGGGAGTCTGAAGAGGGCATTCCAGGAAGTGGGAAAAACACAGGCAAAGGAACAAAACAAGGTAGCCTTAATGGAAAATAATTTGGGGGATACAATATCTAGTTGGCATTTTAGTATAAAATATTTCAAACCATATGATACCCTAAATTTACCATCTAAGTTTCTACAAACTATTTCCTTTTTAGAGTCTATGGACTTAAAAAAAACCCCCACATTTTAGTAGTTTCTCACGTTTAATAGCCACTGGCTTCCTAATTCCCCTTCCAGATCCAGAACAAGGCCAACTTGAACAGCAAGGTAGGGGCAGAACTGTCTACTGCCTGGCGGATTCTCAGTCACAAGATTAAACTGTTACTCGGAGAAGAAACACTGGATTCAGGAGCGTCAGGGTCTAAGTCCCAGCTTTGGCTATAACTCGCTTCCTGCGCCACGTCAGGCAAATCACCTCACCTGTGTGTGTCTCATTTTATCTCTGGAGGGAAAAAGGAAGGAGTTGGACTAGAGTTCTATAATTAGGGTCACCACATATTTTATTGTCCAAACAAGAGTCAAAGAGGGTGGCATCCTTAATACTGACAGAACAAAAGACATGTAACATCTATCCTGGGGAAACAGTATCTACGGCCACCTTCCTCAGATGCTGCTCCCTCAGCTCTGAGGTTTTGTCCTTCTCTCGAAACAACCATGGGTCCCTTTTCCATGCTCTATAGCTGGCTCCATGTCTGGGACATCCCAGATGCTCACCAAGAGTTTGCCTCATTTCTTTTTTGCGTGAGCTTTTCTGTATTCTTGATGTATTCAAAGCTATCGATCTGTTCTTCTACAATGTCACTGTCATGATTGAATTGTCCTTGTACCAACGGCTGTCCCCTTCCTACTGCTGATTTTACATTTTGTGTATTCCCAGGTGGTCTCTACTAAAAATAATTTTTCAAAGAAGGTAACTATTTAGGTATGAACCCCATTCTTTTTCAAACCAAAGAATGAGCAGCCAAAGGATATGTGCAGGCTAGTCTGACATTCTGCAATCACTCAGGGCCAGCACGGCGGTGAAAACTGGGTTTCTTAACGACCGTATTTCCCCATATATAAGATGCACCCTTTTTCAAAAAATTTGGGATCTAAAAACTGGGTGCATCTTATACAGTGGTGGTAGATTTTTTTACTTGCATTTCCTGCAAGTGATGAGGGGTTGTATGAATTTTATGATGAATAAAGCTTTAGTTCAATAACTTTATGTAATACATTTTTTTCAAATTTTGGGCCCCAAAATTAAGATGTGTCTTATACATGGAGCATCTTATACATGGGGAAATATGGTAGATAGCTAATGAACCATATTAACCACATATAAAAGAGAGAAAACCTACAACACATATACCCACCAATGCATTTTGCAAATCTTAGAAGCAAAGGAAACATCCTACAGAGACCAAAACTCTGACTGCTCAAAACCAGGTAGACCCGAGGTGACTTGCACATTTCCAAACATGGCATATAGCAATTTGCCAGACTTTTAAACAGCCAATTGTTTTTTAAAGGAAAGTGCATCTTGGCCATATTTTCTTTCGATATCAATGCTATTTTATGCCTGTGTGCTTAAAAGTATTTGTCCAGTTATTTACTTTTCATTGTAATTGAGATGGTGGCGGGGGGGGGGCGGGGAGAGAGGGGGTGAGGGAGTCACTCCTTCTGTTTGTACCCAAGGAGACATCTGCTTGTCTGCCCTTCTGGAATGTTCTCTTGCTATTAACTAAAGAACTGTAAGTATGAGTCATACCCATGGGTTTACGGGTGATATAACTAGACATTCTGAGAACATTTTTCACTGAGGAAATGAACAGCCATTTAGCTACAGCAAGATGAAAAGGAGGGTAGAACAAACGTGACAGAATGTCCCAGGAAAGGATGCAGCCTCGGTGTGGAAAGAACTGGGCATGTCTGCTCACTTCTTACTCTCCTTGAGTAATCTCTGAAACAAGTGGTGGGGATTACATCAATTATGAATAAGATAGCCAGGAAGGACTCTGCTGATATGTTGGCAAGGTCTGAATACAAAGCAAACAATGCTTATAAACACAGAGAAAAGGGAAATATAAAGCAAAACCAAAGAGACTTTCACTGTTACGAGCTGAACATGACGAAGGAAAATCTCTAGTTTCTGAGAATTCTCTGGAACATCTGGATGAGCACTCATCTCCAAAGTGTTTAAGACTTATAAGACTTTTTCATCCTTAAAGTCATATAAAAATCCAAAGCTCAGACACATTAAACTCTCCTTTTAAGGGAGGCTTCCCCAAAGGAAGTCTAGCTCTGTCTTCACTGGCCAAGGGGTTTAGTCACTTTTAGAGCTGAAGAAATGCCTTCCTGGGCCCTGGTCTTGGGTGTATCTCCTGCTGGTGTGTCACCTGCACACACACGGGCAAGCACCACACCCACCCAAGGTCCCATCCCCAGAGGGGCAAACACAGAGGGGCATATTTGGGAATGTGTCAGGGCTTCTCAGCAGTGTCAAGGGAAGAACACTGGGACCTTTAGGAAAAGGCATTTTTTTGTCTTATAAATAAACACATAGGATAAAGTTCCTTTTCTTATTCATTCCCTCTGTTAACTCTCAGGTTCCTTTGGAATACTCTATTTTAGCTGCTTTCAGCTCTCAAAAAGCTTTACATTAACCTGTCCTTCCTTGTTTTCTCCAGCCTTTGAAAAGTTATTTCTAGTGCCAAGAGATATAAAATGTTTTAACGTTTTATATGAAGGCTTTCTAATTTTAACCCTTTCTTATGTATGTCTCTAATGATCCAGGAAAACTGTTAAAATACTCTTTAAAAAGTGGAGATAAAATACTCTTTAAAAAGTTGTTGGGGGGCTGGCCGAGTGGTGCGCTGGTTAGGAGTTGGCTTGGGACGCCAGCTCTGAGCAGCAGGGCCCCGGTTCGGATCCCACATGAGCTGCGCCCTCTATAGCTAAGATGGTGAACAACAGCTCGGCCTGGAGCTGGGCTGCCGTGAGTCGCCAGAGATGGCGTAGGCTGCAGTGGGGCTGGCCAGCAGCTGGCGTGAGCTACCGTGAGCTGCCACGAGCGGCTGTCCAATGGCCGGCGAGCGACTGCCTCAGCCGGGAAGAGCGCAGTGATAACACCAACTTGGGCCAGTGAAGCGACATCCTCCACAACTAGACTAAAGAACAAAAGGACAGCATCTTGTCTGTTCCCCTTCCCTGATTCCCCAATAAAATCTTTAAAAAAAAAGTTGTTGGGTTTACTTTCGCTAAGATTTTATAGTCTTAGGATGGTTATTCACCAGCTGCTGATCCATTTTAATGACACCATGTGGGAATCTTGGGGGTCATGGGTGGGAGACATGTATAGGGACACCAGAGGAGAAAGAATTTCCTTCCCCGATCCATTTTCTGACCCAACATAATACCCGCCTGTAATAACTGTCCCAAGAGCAGGTTTCCAATGTCCAAAGAAATAAATTGGCCAAGTATCTCTAACTGGACCAAATCACAAGGGTGGACGCGAAAATTCAGCCCCTTCCCTTTATCCGGCGTGAGGATGGAATGCACGCTAACAGCTTGCAGAACTGCAGGCACAAACAGAACGACTGTGTAGCCTGTGCATAAACTCCGGATGGGAAAGAGGATGTGTCAGTACGTTTTGCCACACTGAGCATCTCTTTGGGAAGAAATCACTGAGCTTTTCTGCTGTCTGCCTGAAGGTAGGTGACTGAGAAATGACCTCAGTTCCATTATCTAAGAACACTTATGGCCTAGCCTCAAACTACCAGTTAGGTCATATTCCTAGGGCTCAAACCTCATGTCTTTTATCAGTTAGATTAAAATAAAATAGTTGGTAAGCCACTCTCCGAATATAAAACCACATCACCTAAAGTGCAGCCGTCCCCCCTTATCTGCAGTTTTGCATTCTGTGGTTTCAGTTACCTGTGGTCAACCGAGGTCTGAAATATTAAATGGAAAATTCCAGAGACAAGCAATTCATAAATTTTAAATTGCATGCTACTCTGAGGAGTGTGAGGAAATCTTGCCCAGTTCCCCCCTGTCCCTCCCTGGACGTGAATTCTCCCCTTCACGTCCAGTGTATCTATGCTACCAGCCCGTTAGACACTTAGTAGCTGTGTCATCAGAAAGTCAATGTCACAATGCCTACGTCATTCACCTCACTTCATCTCATTATGTATCATTTCACATGTCACAAGAAAAAGGGTGAATACAGTACAGTAAGAGAAAGAGAGAGAGAGAGAGAGAGAGAGAGAGAGAGAGAGAGAGAGAGAGAGAGACCCCATTCACATAATTTCAATTACAGTATACTGTTATACCTGTTCTATTTTATTATTAGTTAGTGTTGTTACTCTCTTACTGTGCCTAACTTATAAATTAAACTTTATCATAGGTACGTATGCATAGGAAAAAAAACAGTATATATAGGGTTCAGTACTATCTGTGGTTTCAGGCATCCACTGGGGGTCTTGAAACCTATCCCACGTGGATAAGGGGGACTGCTGTACAATGAAGACATCAGGACTCATGGAGACATAAATAACATCCATCCCTCAAGACACTGAGAGGATCACAATGAAAAGATGAGCATTCTATAAAGCAGCTACACCCAGTGCTTGGCACGTAATAGGTACTCAACAATAAACAATAAGTAGCTACTGTGTACTGTTTCCAGGGAGTCTGTAGACCAAGGACAATTAGGTAGGGAAGACTGATGCCAGATATTCCGAAACGCTCTCCCTGCACATACTTACTGTGTTTCAGCCCCCAGTAGCATTTCCACTTTCTCATTCGCATGGTTACTAAGGACTGTCAGCCTGAACAGGTGACTGGCAGAGCTCTGTCGGGAATAAAGCATTGTGGAACTGTTCTTCCCTGGAGAAGAAGTGACCTCTTCATTGTCACAAGACTCCACCAATAGCTGATCTCTTAAGGAATAATCATTGACGTTGTAACTTTCTTCACTATAAAGAAAAAGGGAAAGAACATGTCAATAATTCAGTGGATAAGACTGTGACATTGTCACTTTTCAAGTCACATTTTGAGGGGTGATGGCAGGGCTTGAGAGAGGGGAGGACAAGGAGAGAATGATTTATTTTAAAATAGGAATGGGAATCTGAATTATATCTTCTGATCATGAATCAATATAACCCCCCAAATTAAACCTATTAATTACTATTTTTCTGTAAGACACTAAATTGCATAGAAGCAATGTTTAAAAAAATAAGCGAGACATGCATGCATCATGAAAATGCTCAAATAAGTGCATGTCTCCAGTCTTGCCTCCATCTGCAGAATCAGGCAGGGATCCCACACGTACCCATGCTCTGGGTAGCAGGGCCTTACTCCCAGCCTCAGCCTCCAAACCACCAGGTACAGGAGGGGAGAAGAGCCCCTGAGGTCTGCTTGCTTCTGGCAAGATGGCCAACCCACCCTTTTCCCCAACACGCACAGCCTTACCACCTGCTTCAGAAACCACGAGGACGAATCCCTCTCCCCCTCCGCCCCCGCTTATGCCCCAAATCCCCCGTTTTCATCATTCCCCTGGACGCTCATCCCCTAGCACTGTGAACAGGCTTAATCTAGCCCCACCTGCCTGAGCGCCTCGGCTGGCTCCTGAACCCCTCCCACTGTGTCCTCTGGAAATGCCCATCATTTAGGGAATCCAGCAAAATCTCCTAAGTCCTCAGCCTCTTCTCTAAACCCTCCCTTTCCCTTCTTGCCTTCACACCTTCACAGAAACTTGGCTCTCGTTAGAGAACATCGCCTCGCCTGAAGGCTCTCTGCCTGCTTGCTTCTCATTGCTGCTTCCTGACAATGATCACGTCCTCCTCCCAAAAAGTCCTCAGCTCTGAAGCTCATGCCATCAGTCTCCATCTTCTAATCACGGTCATTTACATGTCCCGGGATCACTCCTCAGCCTCCCTCATGACTTCAGTTGGTGGCTCACTATCTCTCCCCAATACTACTTCTGTCTTGAATTTCCATGTAGCAGATCCTTGCACCACCCTGGTCTCTCGGCTCCTTGCCTTCGCCTTCTCTCACGATCTTGTCCTCTGCCCTACTGCAGCCACCCCTTCATCATCATACCATAGACCTTGTCATTATTATCAACTGCAGCCTCTCCGTAACCCCAATGTCAACAACCACTCTCTATCCAGCATGCTCTGTCGCTCCAACTCACCTCTTCTAATCAACCCCCACAATTCTTTGTCCCACCACTTCCTACAAGTTCTTAGACCCTTCATGTCCTCTCGTTCATGCTTATTAAATTATCCAGCTTGGATTTCTTGGTACCCAGTTATAATCATGCCTTGCATACACACTCATCTCCTTAAAAAAAAACAAAAAACACCCAGCCCTGTTTCGATACAGCCTTCCCTCTGTTGTGAATCTGCACCCTTGCAGTTGAACATGGGAGGGCTCAATAAATAACTCTTGAATAAATGGATGACTATGCAATAACTCAGAATATACTTTAGGAACAATATCAGATAACTATTTTCTTTAATAATAAATGCAAAAAGTATGAACTAAGGGGAGCTAGGAGAAAAGAACAATCCTTGTGCCCTGTCAACTATACTAGGAATTTCAGAATAGGCCATTTTGCTCAAGATGTCTTAGAATTTCTTACATTCTGTGGTGGACATCTGCCTGTCAACCACTCCCTCATAACTCTCCTTGAAAATCTTTATGATCTTTATTAAAATTTAGTTTGATAGGTTCTCCCTTCAAAAAATAGCAAACACAGTTATCATATATAAAAGCAAAATGCTGTCCTCTGATCTAGCCTTTTGTTGCTAGGGTGATAATTTGTATTTATTGAAAAGTTCACATGGCACGATCATCTCAAAAGATTTGAAACTGCCTACCGAGCAGCACAACCACACGGAGGATATATAAAGTATTTTGCATCCACATGAGACTTATCAAAGCTCACAAGATTTTATAGAAGGAGGAAGCAGGATAGTAGACTTTATAAACAAATAAGGTTATATTTTTAAAAGCCCATGTTTACCAGAAACAAAGCAGTTAGGTTTTGGCAGAGCAGAAGAAGTTTTTAATGTTTTTCTAGGTATCTCAAACAGGGATTTAACAGCCCAGGGCTCAAGATAAAACAAAATAAAAAACAAAAGCAAAACCTCAACAACAACATCAAAAACAACAGAAAAAGACAAAGTGAACGAAGGATTCCTTGTTATTGTCCTCTCTCTGCACCTCTTGTTACTCTTGTTCCAATTCCCAAGTTCAAAAAGACGACCTGTTAGTCAAAGACGCCCATTTCCGGCTAAAAATAATTGTGCTTCAGACAGAAAAATCCAAGTAATCTAATGCTGTGCACATGAGGTGGTTATGTAGTGCCCTACACAATGACACTCCATGGGTATTCCCTGTATTTCCAAAGAAATGAAAGGCAAAGAAATGTTATGCCATAAAGCCATCATTCAAGATGACTCAAGTTCCAACACATCTTCAGCATCAAGTGATTTCTAGTCCCCAGTAGAATTCAAGACCAGGAGTTCACAGGAAACTAATGTAAACTAATATGAATAAACTACTTAAGTCTCTTTTTTTTTCTTCTTAATTTTCGGAGTTCACATTTTCCCCAGTGCCGGTCTAAATGCAAACAGTACCAGCTATTGTGTTTCATAGATGCTTTGAATCTTTGTCTTTGGGGGTAATTAGAGACAGAAGAAGTAGATAAGTGAATGGAATGTTTTTAATTGTTCTCCTAAGTGATAACAACTACAACACCAGTAAGAGGAGGGTGACTGTTGAGCCAGTTTATGCCTGTTGTTCTCTCAAGAATCCAGGCTGGATGATAAACTGCAGCGACCTCATTCACAGCTATGAGTTCACCTCCAGGTGTCCATTCCTACACATCTGTACATCCGTCTCATTGAATAGGCCTGAACAAGGAATTTTCCCACTGTTTCGATTTCTGAATCCAAAAATAGGATGCAGGAAACATGTATGCCTTTTAAAAAAAAACCAGGTTCAATAGCAATCATCCAGTATCATCATTTTATCTAGACCTATAAACTTCTTCATCATGTAATAAATAACATTTACAACTTCTTCACTATTCTTAATGAATTTAATATAAAAAGGGACTTGATTTAGCTCTAGTAAATTATCTTTGTCTGCTATTATTCAAACCCAATAAAACAAAAACTAAAAAGCAGCTCACTCTTGCTAGCCTGTCCATTGTTCTTATGCTCTCACACACATACACACTTACACAATCTCATAAAGGTTCAAAATAATCATACTTTCCCCTCTCCAAGTCTGCTAAATACTGAATAAAATTCCTGCGCCTTGTATCAGTCAGGACCTAGTTCTCTCATGCTGATACCGAAGGGTAAAATATGTATTAAAATGGGTGCTTAAGCAGAAGGAAGAGGGGAGAACCTATCGCCAGATGCAGCAATTCCCAACTCTGTCTCCCTCCTCTGCTTACCCGCATCCAATGAGAAGGCAGGCCACGCTGGGCTGGGAAAGAAACCCCTTTCCTGAGGGAAGTTGATGCTAATCAGACTTCCCCATGTTTGTCTCTATCATTTAGCAAACATATGGTTTACATAGTCTCTGAAACAATCTGGATCATGTAATTAGGAAGTTAAATTGCTCAGAAAAAGGCAAATGGAAAAACCACCTTTCCTTGCACGGAGAAGTTTATATGTAGACTTCCTCTGATTGTCTTATATGTGCTCCAAGTTTGCCAGCTGCGCATCAAGGCTGCCTGCTTTGTCCAAGGGCAGCTCCTATCAGGTGCAGCAATCACATCTACATAAGTCTGTTGCTCTGTGGTGTAAACAATGAAGGTTCTCCCTGTGGAAACCCACTTAAAGTCCAGTAACCTTTGTTGAGATTCCTTTCTTTTCTTTTTTTTAACAAGATAAAGAACTATCAGTAGAGAACAGGATATGGTGGTAAATACATACCCCAATTATTCTTCCCCTGGGAAGGCATTCTTTTGTTAAGCAGCTCAGATAGTCTTTGGTTCTACTATATGTGACCTAGTAGCATGGGTTGAAGAAATGATACACCTTTATCCTGAATAGTGGCTTTCTTAAAGGGATTATTATAGAGCATTTTTAACTTCTGGTCCCACAAATTTCTAGAAAGGTTGGAATTTTCCATAATAGGCATGTATTTATTACTTTTAAATCAGGACAGCATTTGACAACTGCATACAACATACATTTTTAAAATACCCAAACTACATATATATGTATATATGTAGTAGGGAGTGTAGGATGATAGACACCAACCTCAGCACAGGAGTTACTCTGGGAGAAGGAAGAGGGAGACAGCATAATGGTGGAGAGACTTTAGATACATCTGCAATCTTGTCTCACGTTTTTTGTTTAAAAAGGAGAGATTTTACAAATATGGAAAAAAAAGTTAGTATCTGTTAAATCTGGATGATAGGTATGTTGGTGTCTGATCATTTTCTGTATGTTTGAAATATTTCACAATTCAAGGTAAAAATAAATTAAAAAATAATAAATGCATAGATGTAAAGACTACCATAATTCCAGGTATCTGTGGATACCTAAAGGTGTAGCTGAAGTGACTATTGGACAATGGATTTTTTTTTTTGCCTACAAACAATTATTTGCAGATGACATCACTGACTGAAAACATATTACCAAATGAGAGTAAATTCAGTAAATTGGTTGGGTTAAAAAAAAAAAAAAGGCTTTCTTATATATAAATGACACTCAAAAACATAACACAAAAAGTAACCTTGTTTATAATAGCTATAAAACATATAACATATTTAGGATTAAACTTAACAAGTTTCTGCTCTGTGAAGATGCCCTTCAAATACTGCACTTCAGAAGAAGGCCTAAATAGAGAGGGAAGTTTGATATTATAGAAGTATCAATTCTTCCTAAATTAATATAAAATTTTAACACAATCCCAACAAAAACACAAACAGGTTTTTGGGGGGGAG